CACGAACGGGAAAAGATGATGATGAATTAACTTAATAACGTATTATCGTTGTGTTTATTTAATTTAAATTAATGTTCACTTGATTAAATAGTAAACTAATAGATTCAAGGTGGCGGTGGTGTCGAGCTAACCTCTGAACTTCTAGTACGTTCGCCTTTAGTTACAGATGTTTGCCATGCATGTGCTTTTCCAAGCGTGGCTGACGCCTTTATTTCACAAAAACTAACCCTGGGCGCTGTTTTAAGTTCAGGAAACCTAATCTGGGCGCTGTTGTAAGCTCAGGAAACCTAACCTGGGCGCTGTTGTAAGCTCAGGAAACCTAATCTGGGCGCTATTTTCAACTCATGTAACGTAACCTAGGTTCCCCGAGTCCACCCAGCTCTGACGAGTACCTGATCCACGGTTAGGAAAGTAAGAGAGGCTGGGTATAGAGCTAACCACATCCTTCATATGCCGAGGTCTCTGAAAACATGTGAACTATTCTCCGCCTACCCCATAGAACGTAAGGTTCGTAACATGGACGTTGTTTTTCTTTAGCCCGTCGGAGTCATTCGGTCCCTTCGTCCTCGGTTAGGTACTTTGATAAGTATTGTCCTTATTAAAGAAAACCAAAGATATTTCTTTCTTTGCTACTTCTGCTATGTGATTTTGTTTTTGCGTTGATCAAAATTAACATTGAACTCAGTAGTAAAGTAAAGTAAAAGAAAAGATCCCTCTTTAGAATTATCGATCCATTGGGCAGATGAAATAAAGTACATGTTTCTTGACTTTGGCATATCAAGGGAAGATATGGTCAGCATTTTTTCAGCCGCCTTTATTTTCCTTAACACGAGTTAGATACCCATCACAGCTGGGTAGACTAGGGTAATTTGTACCGACTTGGACCCGTAATCGAAGTCGAGAATTTCGGGTCGCCGCCTAGCGCTCTACTATTTAGGCCACGCCGCCCCATGAGCGTAAAAGTAAGGGCCACAAATGAATCAATACATGTGATTTACTGTTACTTTAAAACTGTATTAGAGCTTATTTATCTAAATGTGTACTATTAATAAGAGTTTCAGCTTTAAATAACCGATGATTAAAAGTTATTATCCAGCGGGGTGTTTTTGCTTTGCTTTCATTGCTTGTACTTTAAGGAAGGTTTTAATTAAATTCTACAAACTTTTACCCTGTCAATCATTCCCGGCTAGTGGCAGTGAAGTCGCGATTTAATAAACACGCCGTGAACTAAACACTGTTTAATAAAACCTCAATTGAATGGGGGAAAGAAATAGAATGTCAATTTGTGACGTGAATCAACTACATTTCATTTACTCGGCATGGAAAACGGGACATGAAAATGCACTTTTTTAATAGAGCATGTTTTCTTAAAGTTTAGAATAATTTACTCTAGGTTCTAGTAAACAGAATTTTAAATAGAATGTAAAAAAAAAATATCGAGATGTATTGCGCAGATAAAAAAATATTATTTGACTGCTACACATGTTAATTGTATATATTTGAAAACGGTTACTTAAACTTGTCCAAAAGCGTGCATCAATATGCAGATAAAATTAAAATCAAGTAACTGTTTATGTACAAAACTTATGTAAATAAAATGTATGAACAATTATTTTTGAGCAAATCGACAGAGCTGTGGTCTATAAGAATTTCGAATAGTTTTATTTTTAATTTTAAGTACAGTTACAATGTGAATATTTATACAGTTTAATTATACCGTGTAGTACTTTTTTTTAGCTATTTCTCAAATTTAAAAAAAATTGTCACTTGAAATACCAAGCTTTCAAATGCATTCAAACAATGTGTTTAGATATATTAATAAAAGCCTTGCACGGTTAAGAAATCTGTTTTTTTTAGCGATTGCATTTATTTAAGGCGATAGTAATCTAACTCCCTATTTTATAAGTAAAATCTGATAGACGACTGTAGCAAAGTACGGTAGAAAATAAAGGGTAACCCTTGCATGCGATACTCCTATCTTATCTGTCAAGTTAATTAAAAAAGTGAATTGGATAGCTTAAACCAAAATATACGTTGAGAAGAATGGGGTAGGGGGGGAGTAGGGGTTATATGTATGCCGACCGTAGCTAACGGCTTATAAACGTACTTGAAGACAGTGGCGTCGCTAGGTCGGGTTTCCCCTGTGCGGCACTTCGTGGTGTAACCCCACCCCTCACCCCGAGAAAGAATATATATATATATATATATATATATATATATATATATATATATATATATATATATATATATATATATATATATATATATGTGTGTGTGTGTGTGTGTGTGTGTATCGGCCGACATAGTTAAATATATCCCCCATAAGCGTATATGAATGTGTATAAGCTTTAATCACTGCAGACGTGATAGCAACGATGTTTATCTACAGTCTTTTACTTAAAATAATATAGTTGGATGTAGCATTGTTTTCTCTATAGCTAGCACGTTTACGTCATGGTGTCACACCCACACCCTTGTTATAAATGTCGATTGTACTTAAAAGACTATTAAACTTTAATTAAATATTAATTGAACTGGCAAAAAAAGCATTTTTATTCTGTACATTTTGCAATTTTTTTTTGTCTTGGTGTTACCCCTTAAATGGCGTCACCCTGTGCGGTCCGCATCCCCCCCCCCCGCCCTTGCTACGCCTCTGCTTGAAGAAACAAAGACGTGTTTTTGCCAGTGTGCCCCGTGGCGCGACTAGGCGTGTGTATTATCACAGCTTCAGTCGGTATGAGATTACTTTCGTTGGAATTTAAATTAAAAAATTTTCTTCAGGACAGCGATGATTAAATCTGTGACGCGAAGCACGCTTCATCCAATATGCTAGTAGACGTTCTCCACGGGATTTGGAATCGTCTACAGATAACTACAGTTTTTATTTGAAGCTAGATAAAAGAGTAATTTAGTTGGGGTGGTATTGACTTTCTGGGTGTTAATAAAGAACGAAGAAAAAATGTTTGAAATGTGTTGGCATCTGGGAGGTATGAGTGGATTAAAGATGTACGTGGCTGTTGACTTAGATTATAATACACTGAAATTATTTTTTACATTTTATTTCAAAATTAAATCACCGATCTTTCGAGTTATTTTTTTAACATCAAAGTTGTTTAACAAAAACCCACGAGAATGAATTTTTTTTTCAAATACAGAAGTAAACATAGAGGCTTAGATGTCGTTGTTAGTGGGTATCTACTTACTTTGTAAAGTATTGTAAACGAAATGGTGTGTGTATATTAATGGTACCGCCCATTGTACTTCAGGTATTTATCATCATCATTTCAGGTCCGTACCCAAGACACATGGGGCACATGAAGTATAGTTCATCTGCTTCAAATACCTCGGCATATGAATGGACAGTGTGTTGAGCACTATACCCAGCCGCCTTTGTTTTCTAACTTGAGTTAGGTACCCATTAGAGCTGGGTGGACTCAGGGACGTACTGCAGCCTTGAACCCAAGCATCTAACTCGAGACTCTCGGGCTAGTAGTCTAGCCATAGGCCACGCCATACCAATGTGCAACTATCAAACCACTACTGAAACTGTTTGTTTAGTTGGCGAGTTGAAATCACATTTGTTTTACTGAGTAAAAATTATTTAATATACACAGTCGTGTTCTTCTTCGTTCTCGATTATAATATTGGAAGAGATTCGTCCAACATCATTGAAATGTATGAGTCAACACTGCTGACTTCAGCCTGCTTGTCTTTCTGGTCAGTGTTTCTTCCAGGCATCCTTTGGAAATGGAATTTATGTAGCAAAATATATAATACGAGCCGACCCGCTACGTATCATACGCCGCTATTTAGTTGTTGTTTTTTTCTACTTTTCAGTAATTCATAATTTGTGAATTCGACAGTACCAATGCTGCCACTAAAAATATTTGCTTAAAAACACTAACCCCCCCCCTCCCCCCCCTCCCCCCCCCCCCCCCCCCCCGTCAAAGCAGCCTCCTCTTAGTTTCCTCCTCTATGTTTAAAATCTTTTCAAACTAAATTATCTGCCCCTAATAGCCGTCATCAAACCCGGCACTATGATTGTAAAATGTAAACAGCGTGAACCACAGCTCACCAGTCCATGTGAGGGGGTGGGGGTGGTAGCGATAGAGAGGAAGAGAGGGGACTGTAAGGCGCGCTTGCAGCTTGTTTTCTATCGGTTCCCAGAAGAGAATTATATATAGATATATAAAATATATCCCCCCCCCCACGAAAATTTCAAGAAAAAAGTCTGGAAGAAACACAGGTTCTGGTTCTATTGCTTTTGTCACCCCAGAACAATCAGCAAGGTGTGGGAGCTGCCGTCAAGGTTTTCATATAGTTTAGCAGAGTGCTTTTGGGTTACTCTCTCATATGTGTCATTACCGTCTCAAGCTATTGTTCAATGGCCAGACAAAATTCCCCCACCCCCCAAGGCTAGACTAATTGGTTCTCATCAAGATTTTGCTTCCTCCCTCATTGCTTCGTGTTGGGGGTGGGGGGAACTACAGTATCACAATTCGTGATTTTTTGGGTTAGCAAGTTCAAGGGAGGTCTCTACCGCAAAACCACACCATGACTGGAATACAGCTACAAATTTTTAGCCTGATAACACAACATGTCAACTTCTTTTAATATTGGCACAATGAGGTCTGGCTCTGTACAGCAGTACACAGCAGGAAATAAGATTTAAGAAGGCTATAATCAAGAAATATGTTGTTTTTTTCTTTATAAATCTTAAACCTTATTAGTTGCGCTAACCCAATCCATGATATCTATAGAGATATTGTTACAAATTCTGACATCTTTTTGCATACGATATATCTAGTAACGAAATGCTATTCTAATGTTCCCCATGCTATAAAAGACGATATTCTGTGTCTTTTTCAGCTTAAAAATGTCTCAAAACACTTACAATTAAAAAAATCATCAATGTAAACCGTCATTCACAGAGCACAACACAGAAAGAAAAAGCGAATACATGATTAATGCATGAGAATCTTTAATGCTAACTACGTATTACAATTGTTGGTTAATCTTGTACGAGAATATTGACAGTTTCCGACAAGGCAACTTGGTATGGTCCAGATATTATTTCAGCTAGGCGCCCTGAAAATACATCTCTCATTTATTATAAGAAAAAAAATGTATTTATACTTATAGGCCTACTATTCACTTTTTATATGATGGCTTGGTTGAATGGTAGAGCGCTTGGCTTCTATCCAGAAGGTGTTCTATCCAGAAGGACTCGAGTTCGGAACTCGGTTTGGTCTAGTGATTTTAGGACGTAACTGAGTCCAGCCAGCTCTGATGGGTACCTGACTTATGTTGGGCATAATACTTTCATATGATGAGGTCAGAAACACATTAACTTTGTTTCATCTACCTAATGGATTGGTAGGTCTAAAGAGAAACTTTACTTTCGAATCAGCCTTATCATAAACCATTTTGTTCCGATTACTTTTAATAATAAAACAACTAGAAGAAATACCATAGTAAACTCTAAGTAAAAATGTTATTAAGTCTTCAAAATGTAAGTGTATGTACAAGGTAGATTTAGGTTCTTACTAATAACTGGTTTCTTGCTTATAATTTCTGTCGCTTTCAATGTATCTGAAATAATGAAAATAAAAATCGTGAAATGCATCAATGTTTCTCACATTTCAGAAGTCATCGTACATATTTTAGATAAACATAGATTGTGAGATTATCTTTAATGTACTCAGCTACAATAAAACCAACTTTTCTGTACAATGTAGGTACATTATTTATTTTATAATTTTTTCCTATGTCCCTACAAATCCATTTTCTGTTTACTGAAAAATATGTTTTTTAGCGATACAATTAATCTCAAAGACGGCATTATTTACATTGGTTTACCCACCACAATCATATCCAGTTCGATGAGTTTCAAACTTGCCAACAAGTTTCATCTGTTGATTTAAAATCAAAATGTTGTCCATTAACTTGGTGTTCATAAAATTAAATTTAGTGCCTACGTGGGTTATGCATACAAAAGAGTATTAGTAAAAATTTCCAAATTCTAAAAACAATATAGAATTTAAGGCAGTAGTCCTCGCCAAAATATAATGAGTAATATCTACCCCCACCCCCCACCCCTCTACCTCCCAGAGTTTCTTCCAGGCATATTTTCGGGGGGGGGGGCTGGGGTCTGTCCCCCCGAATAAAATATTATTTAAAAAAAATATACTTTTAACAGTGTCCGCCCACCCCCCTCGGAAATTTTAGTCCGCCCAACCCCCCCCCCCCCCCCCCCCCCCAAAAAAAATTAATTCCCCCCACCTCCGGAGAAAAAGGAGTAAAAAGTCTGGAAGAAATACTGCACGAGCAAACTCCTCGTTCCAAGTTCACAGCTAATAAGTTCACTGGATCGAATCTCATTCACAGAGCTGCTTGAAAAACAACCAGATAATCCAACATAATGCCATAAGTGTGGGTACTGCTCATCTAGCCCACGTTCGCACGTAATTGCATACACCAATAACGAATAGATTAGTCTCAACATTGAGTCACCTATATTTTTCCTTGCTATCCGCCCCCCCCCCCCCCAAAAAAAAAATAACAACGTCCCTTACCAGATCAGTAACTACGTCTATAGAGCAAGTGGTTTGTGCTAAACATTGGGTAAAATACTGCAGGTACCTAAAACACACAAAAAAAACTTTCTTGTTAAACTCTGAAAAGTCCAACAACAATTTTTTTTTAAATATATTTTGATAATTTCGAACTGACACACATCTGGACTTAGAGCTGTCAGGTAATTTTATTTAAGACACATTTCTCGTTTTCGAGAACATGTTGTGGTTTTTTTTTAATATATAAATACTCATTCTTTTCATTTTATTTTATTTTTGTTTTAATTTTTTAACATAAGTAATCTTTGATGGCTTATAGAAGTTCTGTTGACGTACACATTAATCAATTAATGATTTAAAATTGGATTAATTTTGTGTTTAATTGAAATAATAAATTATTAACTTTTTTTAGCAACTTACGGACAAGTCCAGATAGGTTCGTCCTTGAACTTGCTTTGCAAAATGTTGTCAAAGTAAGCGACAACACATTTATCTGTTGTTGTTTTACATGCTGGAGTCGGAAAATGTGTTGGGAAGGTGGGGGTGGGATGGTGGGAATGAATTTACTATTGAATGACTTGTTTTAATATCATTCAAGGTATACTAGCAAAAATGAATAATGTTTGAAAAGTGAGTATAAATAAAAGAGTTGGTATTGCGGGCTTAGCAACACTAATTCTGTCTGGTCTCACTGATTACAACTAGTTATAATGGGTACCTGACATAGTTTGGGTAAAATTGCTCTTGACTACCTAGTTATCTGGTTATACATCTGCGTTACTTGAATACAAATGCTAATGTAAAATTTCTTGGACTTTGCTCCAAAAATAAGCTTTTCACTTTTTGTATATACATTATACTAACATACAATTTTTTAAATGAAAAACTTTGTAAACACTAACCTGTGTTAATTAGCTCACTTCTTAAATCTGTAAATAAAAACATAAATTGTCAACTGTTAAAAGCTATTATATTAAGATCAGAAGCGGTTTAAGTTTACATAAATTTAGGTAGACAAAGACAAACATCTTTGGACAAAACTTGTTAACATTAGTTTAACATAATATAGTCAAACGTGTTTTGTTCATACATGTACAAATGACATGTACACAGTACAATTCAACGTGTTCAATACACTTAGTCACAAAAAACATTAACGTTACACAATACAAATTGTGTGTTTATCACAACTACAAACCACATATACATGACATAAAACAAGGTGTGCATTAATCACATTTACAAACCTCATATACATAACACGAAACAAAGTGTGTAATAATAAAATTTACAAACCATATATACGTAACACGAAACAAAGTGTGCATTAATCAAATTTAAAAACCACATATGCATAACAATACAAGGTGTGTATGCATCGAATCTACAAACCACATATACATTACATGAAACTATGTGTTTATCAAATCTACAAACCACATCTGAGCTGGAATCTTGACAACTCCTCTGTAAACACGGCCATGGCTTCCCTCACTTCTTCTGGCGGTGCCAGCAACGTTGATTGGGTACAGTGGAAAAACGTCAACAACGACCGAAAATATGAGAACAGTTTGCTAATAGTTGATATCTCGGTGAAGTAAATATGTGTAGCAAATTTTAATCATGTTTGTAAGTTGTTCTTATTCAACTGTAGGGGCCCCAAAAGTCTCTGCTTTATATGTATTGAGTATATGTCTAGTGGGGTCCCCAAAAGTCTCTGCTTTATATGTATTGAGTCAATGTCTAGTGGGGTCCCCAAAAGTCTCTGCTTTATATGTATTGAGTCAATGTCTAGTGGGGGCCCCAAAAGTCTCTGCTTTATATGTATTGAAATGTCTATTGTGGGCCCCAAAAGTCTATGCTTTATATGTATTGAGTCAATGTCTATTGTGGGCCCCAAAAGTCTCTGCTTTATATGTATTGAGTCAATGTCTAGTGGGGGCCCCAAAAGTCTCTGCTTTATATGTATTGAGTCAATGTCTAGTGGGGTCCCCAAAAGTCTCTGCTTTATATGTATTGAGTCAATGTCTAGTGGGGTCCCCAAAAGTCTCTGCTTTATATGTATTGAGTCAATGTCTAGTGGGGTCCCCAAAAGTCTCTGCTTTATATGTATTGAAATGTCTATTGTGGGCCCCAAAAGTCTATGCTTTATATGTATTGAGTCAATGTCTATTGTGGGCCCCAAAAGTCTCTGCTTTATATGTATTGAGTCAATGTCTAGTGGGGGCCCCAAAAGTCTCTGCTTTATATGTATTGAGTCAATGTCTAGTGGGGTCCCCAAAAGTCTCTGCTTTATATGTATTGAGTCAATGTCTAGTGGGGTCCCCAAAAGTCTCTGCTTTATATGTATTGAGTCAATGTCTAGTGGGGGCCCCAAAAATCTCTGCTTTATATGTATTGAGTCTATTGTGGGCCCCAAAAATCTCTGCTCTATATGTATTGAGTCAATGTCTATTGTGGGCCCCAAAAAACTCTGCTTTATATGTATTGAGTCAATGTCTAGTGTGTGCCCCAAAAGTCAATGCCCTATATGTGTAGCGACAGTGTAGAGGTGGGCTTAATAATTTAAGTTTAAATTGACTTCCGGCAAACTCTACTTGGGGAGGAGGAGGTGGGTGGTAGTTAAGCCTTTTTTTTTACTTACTGACAGATTAATGTCGGAGTGTTAGAGTAGGTCCCCAGTGTGTCGAGGTAGGTGTTTAGACAAACATTTGTTGTGGATGGATAACCTGAAGGTTATAATTTTATTATACAATAGGGTAAAAAACATAACAATATCAACTAGATGGACAAGTGTTGCAGCTGTTTGTTCACATATCAATCTTATAACCACCGTGGTAAATATTTTAGAACATAAATATACATACTGTTCGGAATTTTCATTGGTTGCACGCTAGACAAATACACGGGAGGCAAGTCTGAAACAGAGTGTTATTTTTATTTTAATCGTATGCCAATAGATATTCGGGACGAAGTAGTCGAATGGTAGAGCATAAACTGCTAAACCGAAAGTCTTGAGTTCGAATCCAGCTCTAATGAGTATTTAATTTACGTTAGGGAAAGTAAAGGCAGCCGGGCATTGTGCTGACCATATTGTCCTTTCATATGCTGAGATCTCAGAAACAGGTGAACTCTACTTCACTCGAACCATGGACCATCGGGTTCGAAAGGGAATAATCATTCGCGTGTCAACTCAGAAGCTATTTGTATAGAACTAAACCAAAACTCAACTATCATTAACTTATTTCTATCCCTGTCGCCTAACCCTATTTATTACCCCACACCACAGAAACTGAAGTAGGTCATTAGAAGGACAGTTAATCCGGGCACTAAGTCTAACCCTAAGCATTAGTTACAGAGTTTCTTCCAGGCATCTCTTCGGGCGGGCGAAGCCCCCCCCCCCCCCCGAAAATTTTTTACCGCCCCCCCGAACGAAATGAAATTTATATAATTTATATAATTTATATAGAAAATATATACTTTTAACAGTGTCCGCCCCCCCCCCCCCGAAGAAAGTCTACCGCCCCCCCCCCCCCGAAGATTTCAAGTGCCCCCCCCCCCGTAGAAAAAAGTCTGGAAGAAACACTGATTAGTTAGTGTTACGTTTAGGTTTAAGGTTATGGTGAAGATTTGGGCTGAACAATATTTTGGATGGGTAAAGCTTGGTCTTTACATTTCCAGTTCCCCCGCTTGATTTTAATATAGAAGAGCTAGGCAAAGTGAATGTTGCGATTGTTTCATACTTTCGATTTTTTTGCGCTCGTATAAAATAATAAATACATAAAAACTTTTATAATTACTAGCTTTTATAAATGCACTAAAAGGGCATCTTACTTTCTTATATGTTTATTAGATAGTATTAAGGGTATACATATTAGTTTTGTAGAAACTGAGAGGATGGGAGGGAAACGGAAAGGCAGTGATTTAGTGATAATGTACTGGACCTACGTGTTTATAATCAGTATATGTTAATATTTCACTTCAATAAAAATCTTAACTTTTTGCGACATGAACATTTTCATGGTTTTTATTGTTAAGTTTTGAGATGTATCCTTCTTCTGCCTACAAAATATTATATATATATATATATATATATATATATATATATATATATATATATATATATATATATATATTTGGCGTGACTTACTTAAAAACAGTGTTAGCTCTGTATCAACAGCTGTAGATGTAAAAATAAGTTATTAAAATACCATATTCTATGCTAAACAGATACGGAAAATAATGGTAAGGGTCGTCCACACTCGTAACACACTCATAGGACAAGGAGGTTCGCACTTTAGTGACGCTGTGTGACGAGGGGCTTGTACGGAGGGGGGTGTCAAAAAGGGTATCGTGATTTATGAACCCCTCCCCCTTATAACAACATCGTGATTGTTGTTTTGAAAGTATTAAGTCAACACGTTTAACGCTATGCATGGCTGTATAAAGCGCTGTGCATACGTCCTTTCATAGGCTTTATGTGACCGCGCTCGCTGGACCGTGGAGAACGCTGAAACGTGAAGCCTGGTCCAAGATCAAGGTGACAAAGTAAACACCAATAACAGATAGACCTGCATGTATTTTTTTTCCATGCACTAGTACTTTATTAGAACTTTTAGAGATTGTATTTAACCGGTGTACTGTTAAACGCGTCTCTTTTGTTTGTATTAAAGTTTTTTTTCTGTTTGTTACAAATAGAACGCAGACACAAGAGTTGCTTTTTCATATATTAAAAGGCGTTTGCTTGTGCGTATTTGTGCGTGTATTTAAGTTTCGTTTTGTATGGTTTTTTGTGTGTTTGGTTGTGTGGTTTCGGCTGTGGTTGCGTATGTTGTTTTAAATCTTCGTATGTGTTTATGTTTGTGTGTGTGAGTGTATTTGTGTGTGTGTGTGTGAGTGCGTGCGAGCGTGTGTGTGTTTGTGTGTGTGTTTGTGTGAGTGTGTGTGTGTGTGTGTTTGTGTTTCTGCACCTGTACCCTTGCACAACATGTCTAGATAAGTAACATGACATACACACATTTTTTTTTCTGGATAAATAACTTGATCATTACGTTTCATCCGCGCCAAAAAATATTAATTTTAGTATTTTAGGACATATTAGACTGAGTTTTTAAAATAAAACCAACTTACTACAGTTGTGTGTGAACAAGCCTGGCTCCCGTTGTAAACGTCCCAAGATGTATTTTATTTCATCGGCCTCGGCATTTTCTAAATTGACCACACACTTCAAATACTCGTTGATTCCCCTGAAAGATTTGTTTTTTCAATATAGCGTGCGTTTACATTTTCAAAGGAATGCTATTGTCCACATTAAAAAAAACACTTTAACACGTAAATAAATCTACTAATATCACTGGGTCGATGCCAGTGTAGTGTAATAAAAATACGCTTTCGAACCTGACGGTTCATTGGGTAGGTGAAGTAGAGTTCTCCTGGGTAGTGCACTAGCCTCAAAGCGAATAGTACGTGAGTAAGTTTTATGTTGACGGTGTGGCCGAGAGGTAGAGCGCTAGATTACTGAAGGACGTCCCTGACTCCGCCCAAATCAGAGGCGTAGCGACCCTACCCGGCACCCGGGGACAAACTTTTCGATTTGCACCCCCTCCCCCCCCCCCCCTCAAGTTTCGATTTGCACCCCCTCAACATTTCAATTTATTTTTCCAACCCATTTTGGCGTCCCCTAAGGTCGGCGCCCGGGGACATATGTACCCCCCCCCCCATCGCTACGCTACTGGCCCAAATCTGGGTACATGACTCGCATCAGGGAAACAAAGGCGCCGTGAATGGGACTGGCTACATTATCCTCTTGCATTCCGAGGTCGTTAAAACAGATAAACTCTACTTCTTCTGCACCATATGTCTTGGGCACGAACGGGAAAAGATTTTGATCATCGAGTTTTATGTTCATTTTTTTTTTAAATTATTTTTGTGAATTATGCTCTAAACACATAATTATTGCATTGATGTTACATTGCTAAACACATATCTAAACCTACAGTTGTGTTTATTTATCTTTTATTTACCTGCAAATTCCATCATCTGTTTCCTCACTTTTGATGAATGTCGTCAAACAAATGTGCTGATTTTTGCAACATTCTAGAAAATATTTGTCAATCCTATCACAATTTTCTTATAAATATGCCTATACGCCTATACACCTATACGCCTATACGTCTATACTCATATACTCATATACGCCTATACGCCTATACGCCTATACGCCTATACGCCTATACGTCTATACGCCTATACACCTACACGCCTATACGCCTATACGTCTATACGCCTATACGCCTATACACCTATACACCTATACGCCAATACGTCTATACGCCTATACACCTATACGCTTATACGAATATACGCCTTTACGCTTATACGCCTATATGCCTATATGCCTATATGCCTATATGCCTATATGCCTATATGCCTATATGCCTATAAGCCTATATGCTTATATGCTAAAGGCCACTATAGCTACTTCACTGTCACAAATGTTGTGATATCCAAACTAAATTAATTTCAGATTTAAAACTTAAATGTTATTAAAAAGGGACGTTTGCTTTAGGTAAAATTGAAACTTAAATGTTATTAAAAAGGGACGTTTGCTTTAGGTTAAATTGAAACTTAAATGTTATTAAAAAGGGACGTTTGCTTTAGGTTAAATTGAAACTTAAATGTTTAGGATATTGTGAGCTTTCACGTTAGGCTATTTGTATGTGTACGTATTCTGGTGCATGTTTGTGGGAATTGTGAGTTAGTGTTTGTGTTTTAACACGTGTGTGTTTGTGTGTATATAAAGTGTTTATATGTACGATGTTGTTATGTTTCGCGTGCATGGAGTGAGTAAATTTCAGTAGGTGCGTCTGTGTATGTGTATGTTGTATGTATGTTTCAGGGTGTACGGGTTTAAGTGGGTGACTTTAAGCGCTTCATTTACCGAAGTAATATACGTTGTTCAGCGATGAAAATTTTAATCAAGTATTTGTTGAAAAAAAAAACTGCCATTGTTTTTACAACATCGTAATTATAGATTATAACTAAATGAGTTTTATCTAACTTGGTGTTAATAGGACACGCAACCACCACTACTAAAGCGAAGCTCACAAAAAAAACTATACTTCTATTGTTAGAACAAATTAGTCATCACATCACTGTGTTCTAATCTACTTACCTGCGTGTAGACACGCGAAGAAGCAAACACAAAGCACAGCAACTACACGGGTTATCATTTGGATCTGCTAAAACTTTACTTCTCGAAACTTAACAGTAAATATCACTTTCAACCAACAGTAAACAGAACAAGTAATTAAAAAATTATTTTTAATTTTTAATTTTTTTTTGTGGCCAAATTTATGCTAATTGTGATCTTGTTGACCACACACAGATACCCTCACATTAATGTTAAAATGTCTTATACAACAGCTACAATAAATTGTGTTGAGATCTTTTGTCAGCGTAAAGGACGCAATTTTTGGCATGGCGCTACAGCACGACGTCATAGCAAGACCTCCGGCGATTGGCCAAAACCAGCTTGCCTTAGAGGGCCGGCCAATAAACAAAGACTTCTTCTACTTCAGCTACACCTATATTTTTAGTATCCTGTTTTCTGCCAAACGTTTTGATTGTGTTACTTTTGAAACTCAACTGAAAACATTAGTTTGGCCGTTCATTTATGAACAAAAACATTCTCCAGTCAAGCGTTACAAAAGTTTCTTTTAAAAAATTATACCACAATTTGAAACCGTAAGTGATATACGCTTAATATATGTGTAGTGCTCATTTATGAACACACATATTTTCCCGTCATGTGTTAACAAAACTTCTATTAAAAATATACCAGAATTTGAAACCGTAAGTGATATATTATTATGCTTATAATACGTATATTGTTCATTCAATTTTTCTTTTTGGTTTCCTTTAAATCATTCATGGAAATTATATAGTGGGTAAAAGGGTGTACTAACAAAAACAAACCATCTTTGTATCTAAATTATATTTCTCTTGCCATGTTTTAAAATAACATAACTTGGACACGAAGGTAATAATACAGCAAAAAGAAAACTGTACAATCTAATTGAATCCAGTGAATATCGATTAGCTTAATTTAAGAAACATAGATATACAATTCCAACTTCACGCTGAAAATTTTTCACAACACTGAACGGAGCGCTGACATAAGAGTTATTCGAACAAGGAAAATCATTCTTATTCCTATAATAAGCTGTACTTTAAACCTTTTATTAAAAAAAACCTTTTCTTAACGCTGTAAGTGTATTAAGCCTATACGTACATGAAGCAGAAAAGGGAAATATATCAATGTTTACTTATTTTAACAAAGTCGACAATAGACACGCCTAGGTGTGATTGTGTTTTTGTAACAAAGAAAAGTTGTTTTTTCTACTTGGTTTAGAAGCGCGGTATACCAACAGGATACAACGTATCAGGTGTACTATGAGAAACTACTCAGTTTGATTTTATGCTTGGGCGTTTCCTACAAGTTTTCATGATTTCGTTATGTTTTTTTTTTTATTTTTACTTCGTTTTCGTGACATTCGTACTGTAGTGGAACTATTTTAAATTTTTATTTGCATAGGTTCTATTTTATTTTTATCACAGCTTTAGAAAGCTGGGGGAATTCGATATGCCGTGTTCGTTAACAGCACAATAATAGAATCTTCTTTAAAAGGGGGTGTTAGGTTAAGGGTGGTAAAATAAATACACATATGGTTTGCTAATATCAATGCTATTCCTATTCTTAACCCTAACCCCAGCCCTCGTCCTACCATACGCCCAACCCTAATTTCTAAAAATAAATCTAGACTTGCGATTTAGATACCACAAACAACCGATTTAGATACCACAAGCAACCTAACACACCTATTTTCGGAAGAGTCTATTGTCGGACATTGTTCCAAAAAAATCTTATTTTAATGCACAAGTCGACATGTGTTTAGGTGATGGAGGGAATTTATAGCAGTTTTAATTCAAACATGTTTAGCTCTTTTATTAGTTCAGTGGTAGGAGCTAATTCTAGATAATTCAATTGGGGTGGGGGATAATGGGAGCTGTGATTCCTTTTTTTGTATCTATATTGCGTTAAATAGGGTATAGGGTGGTTTTGTGTTAAATTCGCTATATAGGGTATAGGGTGGTTTAGTGTTATATTGCGTTACACAGGGTGATATACAATGTTAACTTCCGTTACGTGGGACACGTGGTGTTTTATTTTTATATTGCTATATAGTATTATATGGGAGATGTGTTGTTAATGTATTGTCTTATATCAGAGCTATATTGTGTAGAATGGAAGTTAGGGTTGTATTTCGTTCTGTTATAATGTGGTTTATGTGGTAAAGGGTGGTTGTTAATTTAGTTATAATGTGGGGCGTTGGGTGTTTTAATCTTCTTTAATTCCCCCCCCCCCTTTTCCAACTCCTCGATAGTTAAAGAAAACGAACTAGTTATGACAAAACTTTATCAACAGCCAAAAGAAAATCGTCGTTTGTTTAAAATAATATGTACGTTATACAAATCAAGTTTAAATCTGTTACAAAAAATATCTGATTGTCAGACTTAGCTGCCTGGCTCAAACGATACTAGCAGAAACGTGACACCAGTTATGTTTTAAAGTATCTAAACACGGTTTCAAAAAATAGAAAATAAAACACAATCGTAAAGTGCCAGGTGACGTCAAACTTTTCTTTATTCTGCGTAACCGTAAGGCACCAACGCCCTTGCAGGTTTATTTTTATGAGACAACAGAGTTCTGTTTATGTATTGTACTGAATCCAGACCGTGCAACCCGCGGGTGTTGTTTGGCGCATGCGTGGGATATCATGCATATCCTCAACACACATTGTCGTCCGTATCACGTGGGTGCATAGGGGCGTGACTGTGACAAAAGTACGCGGGGACTAAAAGTAGGCGGAGGCTGTGACTGAAATAGTTGTAATGTGACTAAAAGTAGGCAGAGTTGTGACTATAAGAGCGGTAATGTGACTAAAAGTAGGCGGAGTCAGTGACGACTAAAATAGTGGTAAAGTAGGCGGAGCTGTGACTAAAATAGTGGTACTGTGACTAAAAATAGGCGGAACCATGGAGGAAAGTACGCAGTAATTTGACTAAAAGTAGGCGGAGGCTGTGACTGAAATAGTTGTAATGTGACTAAAAGTAGGCAGAGTTGTGACTATAAGAGCGGTAATATGACTAAAAGTAGGCGGAGTCAGTGACTAAAATAGTGGTACTGTGACTAAACGTAGGCGAAGCTCTGACTAAAATAGTGGTACTGTGACTAAAAGTACACGGTACTGTGACTAAAAGTAGGCGGAGCTGTGACTAAAAGAGTGGTACTGTGACTAAAAGTAGGCGGAGCTGTGACTAAAAGAGTGGTACTGTGACTAAAAGTAGGCGCAGCTGTGATTAAAAATGACTGAAATAGGGCCGGTCAATATATTTTTTTAAAAAAAGGAGGAGCTATGACTCACGTCCTACGTTCTTAAACGATCCAGTGTATAAAAAAAAACATGAAATTACGACTAAAAAGGCACTAAACTTTCGTTAGTTTAGATAGTTAAAATTATGTAATTTGTATATATATATATATATATATATATATATATATATATATATATATATATATATATATATATGTGTGTGTGTGTGTGTGTGTGTGTGTGTGTGTGTGTGTGTGTGGTTGCAGCCCCTTGCTCCCCAGGGGCCACAAAGGAATGATATATATATATATATATATATATATATATATATATATATATATATATATATATATATATATATATATATATATATATATATATATATTTCTACATTTATAATTAAAAGGGGTTATGATGGTAAAAAAAAAATCACCTTGCTGGTGGTTGAGGACAGTTTTTTTTTCCAAGCATCTCTTCGTCGGGACAACCCCCCCCCTCCCCCGCCTCCCCTCCCGGGAAGACCATCTATCGCCCCCAAACGAAATAGAATTCATAATTTATATAGAAAATATATACTTTTACCAGTGCCCCCCCCCCCCTCCCGGAGTAAAAAGTCTGAAAGAAACATTCGTTGCGGGGGTTGTAGTACACAACTTGAAACCCCTTGTGTTGAAAAACAACAGCTTGAGATTTTTACGAATCAATAAAGAGAGGGAGACAATTTAAGTTGATACTTCTGTTTTTCTCCTGCGGACGAGCTCAAAGGGGATGTCTGAATCACTTTTTTTCTCTTTTTTTACTCAACCCCCTCTGATAGCAGTGTATCTTCCAGACTTTCTTCTCCGGGGGGGGGGGGGGGGCAGTCAAAATTATTCGGGGGGGGGGGGGGGGGCGGACACTAGTAAAGTATATGTTTACTACATAAATTCCATCTCGATCGTGGGGGTGGTAGATTTATTTGGGGTGCTCCCCCCCCTCCCCGCAGAGATGCCTGGAAAAAACTGTTCGATAGAGAGATCTCTGAGGGAAAGAACGCACAGGCTACTACGTATTTATATTTAACAATGGTCGTTATTATGACAATGTTCAGATAACAATACCTTCAAAACGTTAATTTTTTTGAGGTTTTAATATACTTTTGTTGCTTGATTGTTTAACGATTTCGATTTTTTTCTTTTCTTGTTCCCAGATGAATCGAGTATTTTTACAATTTCTCAAAGCTGTCATATTTATAATCCTAGCTTTCATGGTGATTCACGGCACGTATTTAAAAGATGTTCAGAAGTCAAATATAGCTGTACGGTCAGTCCAGGAATCAAACTGCCCGTGTGAAAAATCCGCCACAGTCGCCCACAACTCAGTAGTGAACTATAGTCTAAATGTGAATAAAACTAACAAAGTTCAGATAGAAAAAGTATCCAACAAGCTGACGACTACGAGTGAACGAAACCAAAGACCGCCGCTTCCTCCATATACAACTTTTACCAACTTTCTAGTCAAAGAAAATTTTTTAACTCATTCTGAAAATGAAATACGCTCCGGGTTTGGTCTCGCGCCCATAAAAACAGAAACCGGTCACGATATTTGGACAGAAAATGGCGTCCAGTATCGGAAATTCCCATTTCTAGAACCAGCCAACAACACATTATTTAAATCGGAATTTGAAGCCTATATTCCATTTAATGCAAGCTTTTTCTTCGAGGGAAATAAGCAGAAACTAAAGCAGAATATCCCGAAAAAGAAGATCATTCTCTGGTGGCAAACAAAAAGAAAACAGCCTCTGCTGTCTGGGTTACATAAAATGAGAGGCTGTCCAGATTTGCCGTGTGTTATAACAACAGACAGGAATTATACAGAGGACAGCAGTGTTATGATAGTAAATGGTAAGCTATATAACGACATCAGTTATAATTGGATAGAAGTGTTATGATAGTAAATAGTAAGCTATATAACGACATCAGTTATACATTGGATAGAAGTGTTATGATAGTAAATGGTAAGCTATATAACGACATCAATTATACATTGAATAGAAGTGTTATCATAGTAAATGGTAAGCTATATAACGACATCAATTATACATTGGATTGCCGTGTTATGATAGTAAATGGTAAGCTATATAACGACATCAATTATACATTGTATACATTGGATTGCAGAGTTATGATAGTAAATGGTAAGTTGTATAACAACAGACTGGAGTTATACAATGGAAAGCCGTGTTATGATCAGTGGCGTAGCTAACATAAAGCTAACTTACCCAAGGTATACGGGCCCAAGGCACATATGAGCCCTTTTCCCTTTTTTAAAAAAACTAAAACTTTTATATTGGATAGAAGTGTTATGATAGTAAATAGTAAACTATATAACAAGAGACAGGAATTATAAAGAGGACAGCAGTGTTATGATAGTAAACGGTAGAAAAAAAAGTACATTTTGTTGTCCCTCGGCTAAGTTAGGCATTATATTGACATATCATAAAAATGTAACATTGAGCAGTGGCGTAGGCAAGGGCATGTACGGGAATTAGATCTGGGATTAGCTCTGGTATGCAAGCGTACAAGACTTGGGCAATGGCATAGATAGTGAAATTTACGGGAATTAGATCTGGCAGTGGCGTAGCGAGGTCGGGTGTCACCCGGTGCGGTCCGCACCCCCCCCCCTCGCTACGCCCCTGAGATCTGGTATACAAGCGTACACATTATCTTGAGCAGTGGCTTAGACAGGGGCATGCACGGGGATGAGATCTGATAGTACAAACATAAGAGTGTGAGATCAGATATCAGGTTAAACCACGGAGACCGTCTTTTGCAGCCAAATGCAAACATTTAATCTCAAAGTTTCAGATTTCACGACATCCTGCTGCGTTACATATACCAATTCAAAAGTGCTGAACACAAGTACAAAAAATGTGCATGTAATTGTTTTTACAGAGTAAAACTAGAAGTTTTTTTTTACTTGACGAATACAACTAGTTGCTTTAATTTTGAACCCAAAGATCCAAAAAAGGTTTCCTAAACTCAACTCAGACCTGATTTTTTAAAAGATGCAAATTTTACATTCGACACAACAACTGTAAATTATAAAGTCGAGTTACGTGATGAAATTCTTTCCTAAAAGCCTGTACCTGCACATATCATTTAGGTAACCTTTTGCAACACCGTTTTGCCGATTCCTCACCACTGTTTATTTTCAGAGAGTAATTAAAAAAAGGTTGAAGTATATATATATATATATATATATATATATATATATATATATATATATATATATATATATATATATATATATATATATATATATATATAATATATATATTTATAGATATACTAGCGTACCCGACCCCCGCGCGTTGCCGCGGGGATAGAAGAAAGTTTGACGAAATATATTAGGATTTCACCAACGCGTTATCAATTATAATTATATGTTCTTAGACGCGTGACCTTCTTTTCTAAAAGTGAGTTATTTAAATGTAAACAATGCCTGCGCTTGGATCATAAATATCAGGACACGGGTTTACCTACACTACCGCATAAAAACCTTGAGTGAACATTAATCACTCACCGAAATAATATGTTAGAACACACTTCGGTGACCGCCCATGTGTCAGAGACGTACAGGGGCGCTCTCAGCCCCCCCCCCCCCACCCCGATTACACTACCCCTGGCTCCTTAAAAGTAAAAGGCGCCATCGTGCCAAATAGCATCCTGTTAATAATGATGCAGATTTTATCATTCGCTAAAGTGCCACAAATGAACAAGCCTTTTTTCTTTAACACGTAAAAAAGTATTTGACATGTTTTAAACATCAGTGTGACTGATGCAATATGCTAGCGTTACTAATGGTCTATTATTAGATGCTCGATCTCAATTTCTGACTGAATTGGCTAACAATAGATGCTTATTGCATCATTCGCAAAGTGACGAAACTCTACAGTAGGCTCCTCATATTCAAAAAAAGTTATTTTTTTCATCTTTCGTAAGGTGACGAAACTGTACAGAAGGATTTCCTCGCGTTACAAAGTTATTTTTAGAAGCCTGTTGTAGTTTTACCGCTGAATATAGTAGTACCCCTTACTCGCTATGCAGGACGCTCGATTAACGGGTGCCAAGTGCCGACAAAGTCGCTCTAAAACTCTGGGCGCCAAACCGTGTATTGACGAAAGTTGTACCCTATATGGCGCCGCCCGTAAGAAACTTTAGTTTTCTTTTTAGCAAAAATATTCTTGGGAGTATTCTCATCTATTCCCTAAAGTTTCATGAACCGAATCCGAGTTTTATTTTTTATATACCGTGTATAGAAAAAAAAATCGCTCTCCCCCGGGGGCGCCGCCCTTGCAACATTAAACAATATTTTTTTGCAGAACCCTACCATTGAGTGATCTAATCATTTCCCCGAAGTTTCATGGTACACGGATGAACGGTGTGAAATCGACATTTTATAAACCGTATACAGAGAAAAATCGCACCCTCCCGTGGCGCCGCCCTTGCGAAATTAAAAATGATTTTTGTACAGAACCCTTCCCTAGAGTGTTCTAATCAACTCCCCAAAGTTTCATGCCTATCAGATGAACGGTGTCACTGCAATTCACTTTTATTATTTTTATATACCGTATGTAGAGAAAAATCGCACCCTCCCGTGGCGCCGCCCTTGCGAAATTAAAAATGATTTTTGTACAGAACCCTTCCCTAGAGTGTTCTAATCAACTCCCCAAAGTTTCATGCCTATCGGATGAACGGTGTCACTGCAATTCACTTTTATTATTTTTATATACCGTATGTAGAGAAAAATCGCACCCTCCCGTGGCGCCGCCCTTGCGAAATTAAAAATGATTTTTGTACAGAACCCTTTCCTAGAGTGTTCTAATCAACTCCCCAAAGTTTCATGCCTATCGGATGAACGGTGTCACTGCAATTCACTTTTATTATTTTTATATACCGTATGTAGAGAAAAATCGCACCCTCCCGTGGCGCCGCCCTTGCGAAATTAAAAATGATTTTTGTACAGAACCCTTCCCTAGAGTGGTATAATGAACTCCCCAAAGTCTCATGGCTATAGGATGAACGATGCCAAACCAAAATCGACTTTTATTTTTATATACCGTATATAGAAAAAAACAAATCGCGCCCTGTGGGGGCGCCACCCCTGCGAATTTGAAATATTTTTTTTCGCAGAAACCTCCCCAGGAATATTCTCAACAACTTCCCAAAGTTTCACGGCGATGTGATGAGAGGTGTAGTAATGCATAAAGGACACACAGACACACACACACACAAACATACATTGCTTTTTATATATATAGATAGATATAGATAGACTAGCGTACCTGACCCCCGCGCGTTGCCGCGGGGATAGAAGAAAGTTTGACGAAATATATTAGGATTTCACCAACGCGTTATCAATTATAATTATATGTTCTTAGACGCGTGACCTTCTTTTCTAAAAATGAGTTATTTAAATGTAAACAATGCCTGTTCTTGGATCATAAATATTAGGACACGGGTTTACCTACACTACGGCATGAAAACCTTGAGTGTACATTAATCACTCACCGAAATAATTTGGTAACACACTTCGGTGACCGCTTCTGTGTCAGAGCGTAGTGGGGCGTTCTCGGGGCCCCCACCCCCCCCCCCCCTCCCCCCGATTACACTACCGCATAGGCGCGGCGTACGACCCCTGGCTCCTTAAAAGTAATAGGCGCCATCGTGCCAAATAGCATCCTGTTAATAATGATGCAGATTTCATCATTCGCTAAAGTGCCACAAATGAACAGGCTATTTTTCTTTAACACGTAAAAAAGTATTTGACGTGTTTTAAACATCAGTGTGACTGATGCAATATGCTAGCGTTACTAATGGTCTATTATTAGATGCTCGATCTCAATTTCTGACTGGATTGTCTAATAGTAGATGCTTATTGCATCATTCGCAAAGTGACGAAACTCTACAGTAGGCTCCTCATATTCAAAAAGTTATTTTTTCATCTTTCGTAAGGTGACGAAACCGGACAGAAGGATTTCCTTCGCGTTACAAAGTTATTTTTAGAAGCCTGTTGTAGTTTTACCGCTGAATATAGTAGTACCCCTTACTCGCTATGCAGGACGCTCGATTAACGGATGCCAAGTGCCAACATAGTCGCTCTAAAGCTCTGGGCGCCAAACCGTTGTTGACGAAAATTGTACCCTCCATGGCGCCGCCCATAAGAAATTTTAGGTGTTTTTTTCACAGAAATATTCTCGAGAGTATTCTCATCTACTTTCCAAAGTTTTATGGCACTCAGATGAACCGCATTCGAGTTTTATTTTTATAAACCGTATATGGTGAAAAATCGCAACCTCCCGTGGCGCCGCCCTTGCGAAATTAAAAAGGATTTTTTTTACAGAACCCTTCCCTGAAATGCTCTAATAAACTAACCAAAGTTTGACGGTGATTGGATGAACAGTGTGAATCTGCAATCGACTCTTATTTTTTATATACCGTTTATAGAGAGAAAACAAATCGCGCCCTACCGGAGCGCCACCCCTGCAAATTTGAAAATGTATTTTAAGCAGAAACCTCCCCAGGAACATTCTCAACATATTCCCAAAGTTTGATGGCGATCGTGTGAACGATGTCACTGCAATTCACTTTTATTATTTTTATATACCGTATATAGCGAAAAATCGCACCCTCCCGTGGCGCCGCCCTTGCGATATTAAAAATGATTTTTTACAGAACCCTTCCCTGAATAGCTCTAATCAACTCCCCAAAGCTTGACAGTGATTGGATGAACAGTGTGAATCTGCAATCGACTCTTATTTTTTATATACCGTTTATAGAGAGAAAACAAATCGCGCCCTACCGGAGCGCCACCCCTGCAAATTTGAAAATGTATTTTAAGCAGAAACCTCCCCAGGAACATTCTCAACATATTCCCAAAGTTTGATGGCGATCGTGTGAACGATGTCACTGTAATTCACTTTTATTATTTTTATATACCGTATAGAGAGAAAAATCGGACCCTCCCGTGGCGCCGCCCTTGCGATATTAAAAATGATTTTTTTACAGAACCCTTTCTTTAGAGTAGTATAATGAACTCCCCAAAGTCTCATGGTTATCGGATGAACGATGCCAAACCAAAATCAACTTTTATTTTTATATACCGTATATAGAAAAAAACAAATCGCGCCCTGTCGGGGCGCCACCCCTGCGAATTTGAAATTTTTTTTTTCGCAGAAACCTCCCCAGGAATATTTTCAACAACTTCCCAAAGTTTCACGGCGATGTGATGAGAGGTGTAGTAATGCATAAAGGACACACAGACACACACACACACACACACACACACACACAAACATACATTGCTTTTTATATATATAGATAGATATACCGTATATAGAGAAAAACAAATCGCGCCCTGCCGGGGCGCCACCCCTGCGAATTTGAAATTTTTTTTTCGTAGAAACCTCCCCAGGAATATTCTCAACAACTTCCCAAAGTTTCACGGCAATGTGATGAGAGGTGTAGTAATGCATAAAGGACAGACAAACAAACAAACAAACACACACACATACATTGCTTTTTATATATATAGATATTATAAATAAATAAATAAATGAATATATATATATATATATATATATATCTATATATATATATATATATATATATATATATATATATATATATATATATATATATATATATATATATATATATATATAAGTACATTATCCAGTTGATACGTTTGTGGTGAATCTGGTGTTGAGCCGACTGATAAACTAAAATCAGAAGATTAAGTGAACTTTGTCTACCATTCTTGCATGCATTAACTTACACATATAGTTTTAAAAAGGAAAAGAACATGATTTCGTAAACCCGATTAACTTGGTTCAGCAACTCTAAAGCATTTGCATTTTCACAATGATACAAATGTCTATTATATCCAGACATAAACACACACACATACGGACAAAATTGCAAAGCCCAGTTTTTCCGACTCAATTACGCATAAAACGCTGAAATTTTGATTTAGGGGAGGGGGCGGGGGGTCTGGCTTTTTGTGACGGACTGAGGGGGGGGGGGGGGGACCCTTCATTCCACGTCACTGCACTTGTGTTTGTGTATTTATACCTGTGATTGATTTTCCTACATCAATAAAATTAATTGCACAATTTCTTTTATCAACAATATTAACCACACAATTTCCTATATCAATTACATTAACCACACGTTATACATGATCAATTTCTGTTTCTGTAGTCCAGTTCGTGGACAAAGAGAAGCCCCCAAAACGACGACCTGATCAAGTCCTGGTGTTTTATCAAGTCGAGTCCTCCAACATCCACACCTTCTGGCACCACGGGGACATCATATCCAAAGACCAGTCCTGGAACTCGGCGTTTAACTGGACCATGTCCTTCAGGACCGACTCCGATGTCCCCGTCTCCTACGGGCTAGTCAGAAAACGCCTGACGGAAATCGTGAAAGATTACAAAGCTATTTTAGGCAACAAAACTGGGATTGTGGCGTGGATGTCGTCAAACTGTAAGGCAGATTCTAGAAGAGATCTGTATGTTAAGGAGCTTCAGAAGTACGTCGCTGTCGACGTCTTTGGCACGTGCGGTGGGAAATACTGTCCGCGATCACGTGACACAAAGTGTCTGGAGGACATTACAACCAAGTACAAATTCTACCTCGGGTTCGAGAGTTCTCTGTGTAGAGATTACGTAACGGAGAAACTGTTCCGGTTCCTCAACACGGACATGATTGTTATCGCCCGAGGAGGGGAGGGCTACGCTCAAGTTTTACCCTCGGAAATTTATTTAAACACGAATAATTTTAAATCGCCAAAAGAACTTGCGGAGAGAATTATGTATTTAAACTCACACGACGAAGAGTATATCAACATGTTGAAAGAAAAGGACAAGTATTTTGTTCTATTTGAAGACTATCCTCTGATATACAAACAAAGGCTGGATTACCTGGAGTATCGGTACGAAGCTGTGTCTATATGCCAGCTGTGTCAACGTGTCTGGAACATTGACAAGTACGCCAAGACAATTCCCGACATGAAGGCGTGGTTCAGGGATAAGAAGTACGAATGTCAAAAACCGAAGGATGTTTTCATTTAATTTTTTTTTTTAAAAGACACAACTTTGATTAAATTATAAAGCAATAAACTCAGAATTTTTTTATATTGTTTAGCTGTTTTATTTAAATGTATGTGCTAAAATAAATGTAACACAGTTTGAAGTTAACTGATGTTTATTTTGTGACTACAGTAGACCCCGTTAGTTTGGTTTGAGTTGACAAGGCAATATTCATCGTTTCGTTGCTGCTAGTTATTTTTTAATAAAATAAAACTGCAGTTTTAAACAAATGTCTGTAATCTATCTGTACAAAAAAATCTTGTGGCAATAGTTGTAAATGTCATTAATAAAATTTGCTGTAAGTTTTTATAACTTGATAAAGTTTTAAAAAAGCCTCCACCTGCCCCACTTTAGTGCTGACAAACAACCCAGCATGCATATCGTGTTTGCAGCGCTTAGTGACACACCTTGAAAATCTATTGTAACAAGGCCGATAACAGCGGTTCAGAAACTATTTAAACAGTAATTGTTTTACAACCTTTCTGTTAGCTGTTCTTACAAGGTCAAACATGGTCTTATGCAAACATAAGAGAGTTAATAAAATATGTTGACACCACTTGTCTTCTGTGTAGGAGCTCAGTCCTGACTGTCGCTGCGCCTCTGGTACCACCCCACCCCCTTCCAACAATATATGGTTCAGGAGTCACTAAGTTGACATTCTTTTTTTAGTGCTTATAGCCTACTGTACACAATGGCTATCTGAGATACAAGTCCCTTTTATTTGTCACCAAACCAAGCAGTATCAAACAGGGTCTGGGTGAGTTCACATAAGCTTAGAAATCAGCCAGTACTGCTACAAGGAGGGGCAGGGATTAGTGTTTTCCTAATAGTCAACTTGTAAATATTTGAAAATTAATTTGAAGTTTAAAATATTACTATTAATGAGAGGGAGAAACTAACTCCAGCAGTTTAAAATCTGAAGCCTCATTGAAAATACTGGTAGATAAATTATGCCATGACCCCTATTCATAAAAGTTCAGAAACTGGGCTATGGAGATGTACATTTCCTATTTTTTAAAAAGCAACATTAAAAAACAGCTTTTTTTTAATTGTTTTTATTTTGGTAAAATTTTGTAACTGAAAAAAAAAACAAGATAATTTTTAAACAATTTTTTTTAATTATAAATAATTGAAAAATCTGCCAGAACTCTGAAAAGCCACACCCCCATTAATTTCACCCTTTAGATAATTTCTATTTGTCTAGACTACTAAACGTAAATCCAGTTAACTAGTTTGTTTCCATGTCATCTTCTTCACTCACAGCTCCAACTCCATTAGGGATGTTAGGATCACTGTGCTTCATTGAGGTGGAATTGGTGGTTTCAGTAAATGTTTGTACTTTGTTTGCCCTTTGAGATTTCCTGCTTTGATTGAGTGATTTCCGTTGATATACCAGAACATACGCTGCTTTTGTCTGAGACACAATAAAATAATTATAAGATACAATTTGAACCATTCAAAAGATTAAGAATAAGATACGTATATTTAAAAACATTTTTAAAATGCCAATTTCATTGGTGTTCTGTAAAAATGAAAAAAATTGCTAAGAATTAATAATCAATTGAACCAATTACATTCATTTATTTTTATCTTCTTCTTCATTCATAATTTTAGTGTTGGAAAGGATTCCCTCCAACATAATTAAGTATAAGTGTCTTATTATGCGTATTGAGGCCATTGACTCTGATTTCAGCCTGCTTTTCTTTTTGGATTTGCTTCCATAGCCTTTGTCCAATCAAGAACAAAATACAAGGCAGCAGTTGTTTGATTTTGGAGTTGTCTCTCCTAGAAGAGTGGCTGTCCCCAGCTAACGAACCTCATCTGCACGAGGGTTCGAACTCGAGCCTTTTTGGTTTAGCAAACATGAGCTTTACTGACTTGACCACACCGCAGCCTATTTATATTTATAAGAAACCAAGTTTTAAAATTCAATAATTTAGTCACAGCAGGTTGTTGAATTCAGACCTTTTAAAATAAATGACATTAAACAGCTTTTTAACCCCCACCCTACATTATCAACAAATGCCAGTCTCTCCACAAAACAGCAACAAAATGTACGGTCCACAGCCCAAATATTTTTTTTTAAATACTTTTATTTAAATAGAAATATTTACAACTGCATATACAAATGTATGTGTGCGTTAGTCTTTAACATAGTTCAAATATTTACAAAAATTATCATTACATAAACAAAATGGTGAACATAACTAAAAAAAAAATTTTGCCGATCAACAATTCAAATGTAAGTAATTAGATATAAAGAAATATGGAAATGATACTTTTAACATGATAGTCTTAAATGTTTTTAGTTTTGTTAAGAACTATTTTACAATATAAACAGCCTGGTCGTAAATATTAACAATTTGTAAATTAAAAGGTTAGTCCTTTTTTTTTTTTTTTTTACCGCAGCCCAAAACACTAGCCTCCCCCTGGCCCCCCATAAAAAATATTTCTAAGACTGCCTCTGACAGGCTGAAAACTAAATAAAAGTGTTATAATAAGGAATAGAATAAGTTTATGAATTAATGATTTTGTATATTGTTAATCCCCAACCATGTCAATATGAAATAAAAATTATTTTAGGCAATTTACTCAGTTTTTGGAATTCATTTTATAAAAAAGATTGTGTATAATTTTCTTAAAAATTACTTATTCTTGAATGTTACAACATTATTGACTGAGTTATGTCCCTTATAATTAAAGACCTTGCATTGGCATTTACTTAGTGTTCAAAGGATTAAAAGGAAGTTAAAAATTGTGTTCAATAGTACTTGTTATAAATAATGAGTTGTTTGAAAAAAAAATAGTTTTTTAAAAATGTCCTTGATTGATCCAGTTATTCAATTACAGACCACTGAGAAAGTTCATCTAAACAAACTTTATGTTCTCAGTGATGTTATTAAATCCCCTAACTCTTTTTACAAAACCAACCACTTTGTGTGTGAGATCGAAGGGGTTTTTTAATAGAATAATACTATAAACTAAAATTTTCTCACAAACTAGCTGCAAATACTTACAACAACAGACTCAGCCGAAGAAGCTGTAACGCTTGAGTCATCAAAATAGTACCAGCTTCCATCATCTTTGTTCATGGCATAGGCTGTGTCTGAGAATTACAATGTTGAGCCATGTTTAGATTGTATCCCACTGATGAAAAGAATGAGACAACCCAACACTTGCCAAGCCTTAAACAAACCATCTTGGTTTTGTTTAACAACAAACAAAGAGTGTCTCATATCAACAACAGAATAATAAACAGTAATAAAAGTAGCAGCAATTTTTAGAAGAAAACTGAAAAGTAAAACATAAAAAAAGTTTATGAACTTAGGTATATAAATATTTTTTTTAAAGAAAAATACATAAAAGAAACATTATATAAACATTATATTTATTAAAATTTTAACAAATCTATTTGTTAATATACTTTTAAGAACACACTATTGGCAGTGGCAAATAATGTCCTGAACTAGGAACTAAGGAAGCCAATGGAAAATGACATTAAAAAATTAACAAAGGCTCAAAAAGTAGAAAAATTTGCTGTCAAGATCTAGTGTTAACATGTTACTATAGGACTACAAGTTGTCTAGATGTATTAAATATTGCTCCTTAACTTCTGCCTTGAGTTAAAACAGCCTTGCCCTACATTTTGCCTTTACTCATACAGGCAACACCACTGATCTTTGGTGGCTTCAGATCACACATAATAAGAGCAGTAGAAAACAATTTAATTGTTTTTATGCTTTTTTTGTGGTTAAGATTCAATAACGCCATACTTTTCATAAGATGTTAGGTAAAAAAAAACATTCCTCTTTAGACTAAGCGATCCACTGGGCAGATGAAATAGAGTACATATTTTTCTTGACTTTGTCATATGGAAAGATAGCGTGGTTAAAACTAAGCCCCACAGCCTTTACTTCATTTCCCAAACGTGAGTTAGGTACACATCAGAGCAGGATGGACTCAGGGATGTTTCACGGACTTGAACCAGGATTCGAACTCAAGACTTTCACGTTAGCAGTCTAGGGCTCTACCCTTAAGCCTCTCCATCCCACATGTTATGAACTGATGTGTGAAAACAATTGTAGAGACATAACTTACAGTGGCCACCTCCTAGTCCTCCATAATGATTGGTTACAGCTATGAGATCATACACATCACATTCATTTGATTCTTCATTGATAATATATTTACGCAGATCCAAATCACTGGGGAGAATCAATAGAAAATTATCTTAAAATTGATTGCCATTTACAAACTGAAATTGACATGCCATATTTTAAAAGCCAAGTTTTGTCTTAACAGTTACAATAATGTGATCAATTTTTTCAAAAGAAATTTAATTAAACTACATACTGTGTTGGGAACTCAACTAGTACATCAATTTTTTCCCTCCAGTATTTATTATAAGAAAATCTTTTCAAATGTATGATAAGGATATCTGGTAGTGACCAAAGATCAAATTTTTTGGTTGCTTGCTTGTGTTGTTCACAATCTGGACAGTACCTATAATTAAACATTAAAATTGTTCAAATCTTTTTCTTTAGTCAATTGACAGATAAATTATTTGCTTAAAATACCAAACATACCATGGATCTTTATCACTTAGCTGTTCTTCCTTCATAAACAATTTTAAGCAGTCATCCAGTTGAATAACTGTCTTCTTTTGACCAGGACGTGCTTTCATGCTGTCATGATCTTCAAATTCCTGCAATAAATTAATAAATTTAATAAAATATTTAAAAGGCATTACTGTAACACAGAAGCAATCATCATTCCACATGAACATAAAGCAATGGCCATGGAAAAAAATACCTCAGCAGCTTTCTCATCAAAGAATCTATCTTTGGCTTCATTACTCCAATCCACAGCTATGTATGTTTGATCTAGGAAAAAAATTTTTAATTTTTAAACAGATTAAGCTATATGGTAGGCTTACTGGTAGTAATATTGATATTGTTATTTTATTAAAAAAAACGTACTTGTTATTCTCAATGGCTTTCCATCATCTGCCAATAAAGTATCTATCACGTCCTTTCCAAATTTATTAGTTGCTCGTAAAGCAAAGATACGCTTTCCTCTATTGGCAAATGGTATTTCATCATCTATTGGCTCTTCTACCCAGTCATCTAGTGATTCAGGTATTTTGACAAAACGCCTGTAGAAATGACATTAATGATTTGAAGTGTATTCTTTTTTTCAATTACAGTATTCATCACACCATTTACTTACGACATTCTTCTTAAGAGCAGTTGATGCATTGTTTCATATGTACAGGAATATCTAGGAACGGCTAACAACATTGGATAGCCAAATAAAAGCTGGCTGGGTACTGAATTTTGATCAGGTGCACCATTTCTGCAAAGATATTTTAATTTTAGAACAATTCACAAAACAATGAATGAGCTAATGAGGCCTAATAATGTCATCCCATTTCTAGAAATGAAATAATTGCTTAATTTACTTTTTATTTCTCAGGTAGAATGGCAGTATCATGGTAGCAGGGTCATCAATATCACTGCTAGGTATCTCATAACTGAAAACAAAACTCATAATTAGTACTGCATAGAAAACATAAAAATGATTAACGTACCTATGTAATAAAACCTTTTCTAACATAAAACATAAATATAGTCCTTTTTTACAAAAATATACAGCACCTGAATATACATAGGCTGTCAGTTTTTTACTGTTGTCATAGTACTAATGGGTACCAGAAACAACAATACCGGCATTCCATTTTTAACAATGTTTCATGGTCATTTCAATAACATATACATAGCAAGACTGAACTATTTTTCACAATGAATGATTAATGTTTGATGCAAACTTGCCTTTTTATACATTTTTACTTTCACGTATACAAAGTATAGAGGAAGTATTGTAATTGTGCCAAAAACGTTTTACACCTCCCTGAGTCGGAAAAACATAGTTTTGCAATCTTATCCGTATGTCTGTGTTTGTGTGTGTATGTGTGTGTGAGTGTATGTGAACATAACTTGAGTACTGTTACAGCTTGGTTGATGAAATTTCATATATAAGTATTGTATCAAATTTCTAGTGATGTATCACCTTTCCAGCAATTTCCGGTAACCGAAAGTGGAACTTATTATACTTTCAATTTTTCAAAAGCCTATAACTTGAGTACTGTTTCAGATAAATAAATTTCACATGCAAGTAAAAGATCTAATTCTCTGCCTTCTGTCCGATTTTGAGTAATTTCCGGAAGTAGTAATTTACGCTACTTCTGATTTATCAAAACAACACATGTGAATTTATAAAGTATTAATAATATTCCGCACTATAATGCACATGTTGTTGGGCGTTTCCTTATTGTGCAATTATTTTATCTACGAGATTCTATTCTATTTTAAAAAGTTTAAGTAATTAAAAATGGATTAAAAATTATGTCTATATCCAGAGATGCCATCCCCCGTAGAATATGAATATTCAAGAAAGTTTAGGGGAAATCACTACCGGTTTATTTTGGATTAATGGTTTAGAATATCGAGCGGAACATAACGTGAGAAAAACAATAACTACTGTGCTTAATACTATTTTTGAAAACACTCAAACTATTATATTATAAAAACAAAAAATTATATATTGCGTCTTAGTAAACTAGTACCGTTAATAAAAAACAATCTGCAGGATTAAAAATACATTAAAAATATAACTTGATCTAGACAACATCGAACTAAGCCCGCCCATTTCGCACCCTTGTATTTGAATGAGAAGAAATCTAGCAGACGACACATTTCTGCTGTATAGTCAAACCCCTCACAACAACACTCCTTAAAAACCAACCCCTCGTAGCAGTCATAGCATCGTAGCCATTTCAGAATAAACACTTTTTCAAAAACCATTTTCTTTCATTACCCATTAATTTTAATAATTAAAATTGGTATCAAATCAAAGATAAATAAACCTAGTTTTTAATTGTTTAAGTAATCTTGAACAATAATGAAGTTTATAATCTTAAGGCGCCACCCTAGTTAAGTATGATAAACAAAAGGCTATAAACTACCAATTTTCAACAGAGAATATATAATGATGACTATCAAATGATGTATTAAATGTCACAGTATTTTATACTATACACAGATTTGAACATATTTGGCCACTATTTACACAATCGAAAACAATTTTAAGGTTACTCAATAACTTCGTACACAAATATGTCATCTCTGTCCAATATATTGTTCAACCCTTCGTCCACGTTAAAAATTTTATGAAATCTGTGATTGTACACGTCTGTAACTACCATCTGGAAAAAAAATATAGTTGGAATAAACTCTTGGTTTTAATTTCGGTTAAAGAACTTAAGATACTGACAACCTTATGTGAGCTTATTAACATAACACCGCAAAAACACACTAGCATGCTATAGTTTGATGAAATAATAACTTATTATTCGTTAAAAGCTATAAGTTCAGAGCACATTTACAACTTGAGAAGTCCTGAAGAACAAAGGCAGTGAACAGACTTAATAATTTAAAAAATCATATTTAAAATACAGCCTCTTAAAAGTAAAAGTTCTTCAATCGATTTAGCAACAAAATGATTTCCTCATTATAAAAACAAAGTAAAATAAAATACAATGTATGTGATGACAGTTATTTTTACCCTATCAGATGGGACATCTACTTGAGCTGACAATGCTGAACATAGGTCTCTGATGCTGCCTGCTTTAGGCACAGTCAAATTTAGCTAAATAGTAATTATATATATTATATTTCATACTATTTTTTTTTATTTATATAGTTAAAAATAAATCAAATTAACTGGGTAACGACACAAGTGTTCAATTTTAAAAAGTATTACATATAATATCCCAAAATTCAAATAAGAAATTTTTTTATAAGTCAGCTAAATAAAGTTTAGTTACCTGCATAGGTTTTTTTTCTGGAGGAAGAGGCACCCATATCACTTTCTTTTGTCGTTCTTTTTTAATAGGAAGTGGTAATGACAGATAACAGAATGGATCAAAAGTAACTGAAATTTTTTCACAGTCAGGGCATCGAACTGTTGATTTAAGTAGAGCATGGAAAATATCTATAATGACAGAATCATTCCTTTTCTTATAGTTGTCCCATGCTTCTTTTGCAACAATCTGAAAAAAATAAATCAACACAAAACATGAATTAACTAAAGAAAGCTTTTTATGGTTAAGAAAATAGTGACAGAAAATGCAGCTAAAAATTACCTTGTCAGGTCTTCCACCTGAGTCTTTAAGTTCTATGTAAGGTTTTTTCCTGATTCTGTTAAGGTCTTCATGAAGTACATCTAATAAAAAAGGCATTGCTTCCTGAGGAAATTGTTGCTCATGCCATGAACATTGGGGTGCAAATCTACTAACTGCAATCTGGAAGTTTTAGAATTTTAAAATATAATTAAACAAAATATATCATTAGAATTATATATTAATACTTTTCTTTAAAATTATGTTGTCTGATACTTTTTATACACATTTACATAACTACTTTGAATATAGGTATAAAAAAATAAGCAAGCATGATTTCAAATTTAACCTTGAAATTTCTAGGCATAGTATAGCTTTTGTGTCCTGACCAAATGTCCCTGATAAGTTCAGCATATGTGTTGGCTATTTCACCCCTCATGCCTAAGGGATTTTCTTTATTAAGCTCCTTCTCCCACACATTACTCAGCATATAGTCTGTAAGGCGGCCAACATTGCTCATGCACTGTAGCCATTTGACAGAGAAATAAATATACGTAATGACACAAGATCCACTACAATAGCACAAAAAATCTTTTATTTCTGTTGTATAAGAGAATTTTTTTACACAGAATGCACTGAGTTTATGCATAGTGAATTGACAATTGATTGGCATTAAAATATTTGCACCTAAAAATGTTGAATACAGCCCGTAATTGCTACTTTTTAACTAAAAAGCTGAATGCAATTGTTTTAAAGCTTGAGTACTGAATCATTAAAAAGTACATTAGCTCAAAGAAAATGCATAGTATATGGATATACACACCTGTAAAGCAGAATTCATAAAACATGTGTTGCCTAAATTAGCTAGGCCACATAGCCCTGGTTTACTGCTGTTACTGCGATCATAGCCATTGTTGCTGTAAAAGTTATTAACACTATTGCTAGTGTAGCTACTTGTACTTGTTGCTTGACTACTTGAATCATAGGTTGATGACCCACTTGCACCAGTGTAACCAGCTCTATTGAGGTAGAACAATGTTATGGCATTAAAACAGGCAAAAAAAAGTAGTTCAACAATAAGCTAGGAACAGAAAAATTTATAATCTCATAAATTACTTACAATTTTACTCTTTTTAATTCACAAAAGCTGGGATGTGAATACCTTAGGTGTAAAAAAGAAAATTTGTTATGGGGCAATATTGCCATAATTGACTACCTAGACTTGCAACAGTAACATGTTCACAGTAAGAAGTTTAATCACAGTACCAGTAACTGTAATTACAACACAACTTTTACATTACCTTTACATATTTATTCATAAAAATGTATTAACAGGCTAGTGTTGAAGTTTTTACCTGTTGTATGAACATGTTGTACTAGAAGTGGACCATGTGAGCTAGTACTGTGAGTGTAGTTATGAAAAAAATAACAAAACAAAACAGAAGAAAAGGTTTAAATAAATTAAATTTAAAATCAACAACTAATACTTTTCTCAAAGAAAGTTTACCATAAGAGACTTATGTTCTATTAAATAAAAAAGTCAAACTACCTATCAGTAACTTTTCAAGATTATATACAAATTGCTAAATTTAATTGCTCATTATTTTAAAGATAAAATACTGAAAAGGAAGTTATCTTTTAATTTATGAGCTCAATCATTATTTAACAGTTATGTAAAATGAAAAATTTCTTTTCATACTTTATAAATAATACAATCTTAAATGTGTAATAAAACAAATAATACCTTTTAGCTTGCCTTGGCCATGTGCCATCTTCATTTTTCTCTTCAATAACAATTAACTGAAATTTTAATAAGCAAATAAGCCTCATTTGAATAAAACATTTTAAAATTATAAAATCTTCCAAAAATGTATTACTTTAGGCTACATCAATAGTTAATTGTTATATATATAATCTATATATATAAAGCAAAGTGGTCAGATGCTGGATAGGGTACTTCCCAGCACCACAGGAGCTTCAAATTTGACAAGATCCTGCCTATGGGCCATAGAACACAGGGGGGCCAATGCCAATCCGCCACAAAGATGGGGTCAAAACTGACCTTGACTGACCAGTGCCTTATATGAGCTAAATATTGGGAAAAACTTTTGCGACTCCCCTTGATATTTTGTGAGGTCATAGAAAAATGCATATGGATGTAAGAAAAAACGCGTTATATCTGGCAGAAATCTGTAAAGCTGTCGAGTTGTATTTCTCTATATAATTTTTGTAATTTATGTGAAAAACAGAGGGTAATTTCAACAAAGATTTTAGGGTAGGCCTACTTAACGTTTGTACATCTGGCTAGTTTTTGAATGTCCCTCAGTAAATGGCTCAGAAAAACTGTCAGTCAGACTCTAAACTATCTATGAGGACTAAAAAATGACTGCGAGTGAAATTCTCCTTATATGTGCTATATATATATATATATAAAATTGCCAAACGACCCACTGCCCCCCGATATTTTGTGAGTTAGTAGACAAATGCTGGAAGGTAAAAAGAAAGATTTTTAATGCCATTCTGAAAAATCCCATAGGGTCGTTAGATTTCTCCAGATCCAGTATGTTCTTATATAAGCACAGCAATTTTTTGGTGAAAAAAGTAAACAAAGATTACATCATTCAATCAATGTACAAGGGAGGTAACTTTCTAAAGTAATTATTTTTCAATTAATTTTATGCTATTTTAAACAAAAACAGAAAATGATGAAATATAGCATTCGTTTAAGTAAGAATTTTGTTATAAAATTTGTTATAAATTAAGGTATGTAACCTAATTAAATTGTAGAAATTAACTTCAAAATTAAATGTAATGTAATATAATCTTTGAGTTATACTATTAAGGAAGCCTCTATATTTCTAAGTACTTTGCAAGTAATAAGTTTGAGAATATTACACCAAAGACTTTCTAACAATGAAATTACAGTTTAAACTCAAGAACTCCAAATAACAGCCAATCACTAATTAGTTAATTATTAGTACAGTTTGGCACCCTTTGCCTTCCTGTGAGAGCTATGGAGCCTACGTTCGCTTTAGTGAGTGCAATTGCACTCTATTAATAGACTATGAATAAGGTGGAGTATTATAGTAATTTAATAAGATGAATCAGGCTTTTCTGCTGGCGCCTGGCAGGGTCAATTTGGTGCCCATGGCTATATAGTCAACAACATGCTTTAATGTTCGTATTTAATTTTGCATTATCTTCTAAGTTAGCGTTTGTGTTTGTATTTATGTTATCATATGTCTGCATTTGCTCTATGACTTTTCTGACAATGGGTTGCTGATTGGAAGAAAATAAATTCAATTATGTTTATTTTCAACAGTATAATTTATAAGATGAAAAAAAGAATCTTACTTCAACTACTTGAAAAAAAATTATTTACAAAATCTAGAAGCTTTAAATTGCAATAGTCATTTCTATTGGATATAACCTGACATAGCTAAACATATTTTTAAAGACATTATTTTAAAATTTGGGGGAATAAAATTGCACTTTTTAAACAACTATAGGCAGACTTATCTGGCTAGGAGTTGTATCCATCTTTTTTAATTATTATTATTATTATTATTTTTTTTTTTAAATTATAATTTGTCAACTTGGCTCTTAGAAGACTACTAACTCTAATTAATCATTCATTTAACTGGAACAATCATTGTTTTTCTCTATATATTTTGCTATTTTTTGCCTTGGTGTCACCCTGTAAATGGTGTCACCCGGTGCGGTTTGGCCACGGGGGGGGGGGGGGGGGACGGGGGGGGGGGGGGGGGACCTTCTGACCGGTATTCAAAGGGCAACTTGATATATCGTCCACATTTATCTAATAATATTATAATGAAAAAATATTATTATTAATAGAATCTACTCATCTAGTCTAGATCTATATCTCTAATTAGGCATTTTGACTTCCGCTGCTTCAATTCGGTACAACCACATCCGGACATTTTGAAGCAGTCACCATTTTCCAAGGAATGCCGAACCTCACTGTTGGAATCGAGTTTTTAGACATATTCGATACAGATATTCTAGTGTAGTCGTATTATATGTTTTAATGAGAAAATTACCGCCATCTGACAATCTTAAAGCTGAAATCGATCACAAGATTCAAATGAATTTATCTCGCAAACATGTCCCATACGGCGCTGTCACATTTTAAATAAGTTTACGTATTAAACACATTCTAAGTGTCTTGCCATTAGCTTTACTCTTTTTTTTTAAAGTCTCCATTAAATAAACAAATATTATTATAATAATGGTTTTATGGCATTCACAACACCTGTTTACGAGTTATTATACATGTCAAACCATTAATCTAGCGCTTCAGCCTTGACAACGCTCTTGCGTTGGTTTAACACCGCATTACCTATTAATACTATTATCGGTAAAATATGCACACTAATGCCAATGGCGTGGTTTTCAAAGGTGAAAAGACTTTAATTGTGGGTGGCACTGTTTAAACTAGATGAAATACATTAGGGATTTAGGTAAAAAAGCACTAATCATCATATAAAAATAAAAATTACATATTCTTGTAGAGCTCAACTATATGAAAACAAAACAAAAAAGATTTTCTGTCTAGCTCAAATAGTTTTTTTTTGGCGAATTTTTTTGTGAGGGGTGGAATCCCCTTGCTTTTGCATTGGCCAATTGTGACAAGTCATGGTATACCTGAATAAATTGAGCATAGTTATTTTACTTGCAGTTGTATTTTGTTCATATTTGCAGAGTTTAACTAGAATGATATATAGAACTTGTAAATGCTGTTGAAATTAATAAAAATAATACAGAACTTATATTTTTGTGTTGGCTTCCTCCCATAACCCCAAAAAACTGTGTGCTGCGCAAATATGAAAATGTTTCTAAAGCCATATTTTATATAAATACAGCAAATGAAAGAACTACAAAGTTAGAAATCTAAAGTAAATGACTTGAACACTGTTATGTGCATATAATTGCTTCATTATTTTGGGCAGGTGAAGTAGAGTCCATCTTTAAGCCATTTTGTTATAAAACTGCTGCGCAAATATGAAAATGTTTCTAAAGCAATATTTTATATAAATACAGTGAATGAAAGAACTCCATAGTCAGAAATCTAAAGTAAATGACATGAACACTGTAATGTGTCTATAACTGCCTTATTTTGGGCAGGTGAAGTAGAGTCCATATAAAAGCCATTTTGTAATAAGTGAAATGAAGTTATCAGATCAATGTTTTTATGTGTGAATTGTGTATGGATTCTGATTTTCAGCATATAACTATATCTAAGGGTGAGTAGAACTTGAATACTTAAAATTACAGTTAGCACAATGTTAGTGTATAGCAACAGACAGGTAACCTAGATCTAGATCTAGGTCTGACTCTTGTCAGTCTCTAGAGTCTAGTCTGACAAAATTGGATTTTTAGGAAAAACATATTCTAGAAAACTAGAACTAGAGCTGAAAAAATTAAAGATGGGTATGTAAATATATTTAGAAATAAAAAATTAGATTTGTTTGCACATGCCATAAGATTGCTGTTATTAGTTGATCAAACTTAAAGGCAGGAAGATCGGGATGAAAAAATATAACAATGGTGGCAGCGTGACCTACATACAGTGACTACGTTCGGAGGGGTATAACTAATGTCGGAGTCAAAATATCCAAAAACAAATTTCATTTCCAATTACTTAAGATATGTCTGATCAGTAATCTACTCTCATCTAGAGGAATCTTTTAAAAAATCGAGATTCCAACGTATTTGAAACTAACCTTGATACAGGGGGAAGACCAAAGCAGAGACAGCATGCAATCAGGTCGCAAAGCCATTAAAACTAAGGGACAACCACTCTACTTTTTAATTAACCTTAGGAAATGACCTTTTAAACTTAATTAATTACCATAAATTAAAAACTTATTAGTATGCAAAACCAAATCTCGTGGGTCCGGTATCAGAAAGTAATGGGCGATTTCGGGTCATGTTTTTACCGCGAACTCGGCGGATGCCGACAACCCTAAATACATTGATCAAGTTATCTATTAAAAACGATAAGCAAGAAGCTTAGGCCTACATTAACTTAACTACTGTCAAGCATTTCACACATATCTAATATCCACTTAGATTTAAGGCTTAGATGACAGATCTCTAATCACAACCAGAGTTTCTTCCAGGCATCTCTTCGAGGGGGGGGGGGCCGAAAAGTCTACCGCCCCCCCCCCCCCCCCCCCCCCCCCAAAACGAAATGGAATTTATTTAGAAAATATATACATTTAACAGTGTCCACCCCCCCCCCCCCACTCCGCCCCAAAGAAAGTCTACCGCACAACCTAAAATTTCAAGTGCCCCCCCCCCCCCCCCCCCCGAGAATAAAGTCTGGAAGAAACACTGGTCGCAACTACTCTAGACTAGATCTAGTCTCTAAGTAGATCTAGTAAATAAGTACTAAGAGTAGATCTAGTATGTAGTCATGTAATAGTGTAATAGTAGGTCTACTACTACTAGATCTAGACTTCTAGATCTAGATCTAGAATCTAGTACTCGAGATCATCTCTATCTAGGCCCTATCTATAGCCCTATAGTCGGTAATCTATCGTTTTGGGTACGTAAAATCGCCCGCGGCTATTTATGTACGAAAACGTTACCTCGTTGTCAAGGCTTTAATAGAAGTATATTGTCATACTTTTGTGTCAAATATTATAGATAAATGAATAATAAACCTAAATCAATGGCTAAATATATCGATATAGGCCAGAAATTAACTTTAAACAGCAGTGTCTGAGAGCAAGATTTGCTATATAAACAGCAGCCATTTGTAAAATAGAGTGGCTTCCCCCTGAATCTGGCGCTAAAAGCTTATAAAAATAAAACTTAGACAAGATGGCTGCTATAGTAAATGAGCATGGTTGCATCTGTTGGAAACATCGCTAGTCTTCATTTATTACGGAAAAGTTTTAATTCAATTGTTTAAAAACAGGTACATAAATGAATCAAGGAAACATTTTTGAATTTTTAAAAACATAAATCCTCCTCAAAATGTGAAATAATTATTAAAATTTAAGGAGTCACCTGTTTTTCACATTACAAATCGCGGGCGATTTTACGTACCCAAAACGATAGATTACCCTATAGTCTATGCTATGACTCTATCTATAGCCCTATAGTAATTAATTTTTTTACTAATTTAATTAATAATTTTAATATTATTAGATCAAGATCTTTGAAATCTAGATTCTAGCTAGATCTAGATCTACCACGAATCTCCTTTTATTTTTAAATGACTTTGGCCTAAGTATTCCTTTATTGTTTTCTTTTGAGTTTCTAGATCTAGATCTAGTTCAAAATCCAGTAGGTGACTTTCCGCCATTTTACTTATTATTTACGGAAGTTACGTCAAAAATAGATGGGAGTAGATCTAAATGCTAGGGCCTAGACCTAGATCTAGGACACTCTAAGGTCAAGTCGAGGCTAGGCTATTTTCTTCTAACGTATGTTTAGGGGAACGCAGCAAACAATGAGCCACAAATTAAATTTAAAAACTTAATTGTTTTAAAATTTAATTTGTGGGTATAGGTAAAAGTTAAGTACAGTTTCCCTTTCAAACCTGACGGTCTATGGGGCAAGTGAAGTAGAGTAGGCCTACACTTGTTTCTGTGTCCTCGGCATATGAAGAGATAGTGTGGTCAGCACTATGCCCAGCCGCCTTTACTTTCCCTAACGTGAGTTAGGTAGGCTACCCATCAGAGTTGGTTGGACTCAGGGACGGTCTACTGACTTGAGCCCGGATTCGAACTCGAGACTTATGGGTTAGCAGTCCAGCTGTGCAGAGTTTCTTCCAGGCATCTCTTCCGCCTCCCCCCCCCCCCCCCGGAGAAAAAAGTCTGAAAGAAACACTGCAGCTGTGGGTATAGGTCCCATTTGCTTTAATAGTGACTCATTTGTTTTTTAAAACCTATAGTTGTAGTTAAATCACCGTTACTGTGACATCACTAACCCAAGCTATTGCATAAATAAATGTTTAAAAACCACTGCACGAACCAGAGCGTAAAAGGAACCGTCTCATGACTCCCCGAACTTATTGCTCTCCCTTGAATAGAAACATTGCTTGCTTGCATGGGCATAACAGTGCGGCCGGACCGAGAAAGTAATGGTGAACGGAAAAAAAGTCACAGGAAAAAAAAAACAGAAAAAAAGTCAGTTTTTGCTAGGAAAAAAAGTCACAGAAAAAAAGTCAGTGGAGAAATTTTATCGGAACAAAAGTCACAGAAAAAAAGTCACAAAAATCTTTTTAGAAATATTTTCATTAATATGTTAAGAATTGTAAAATTGTGTATGTTTATTGTTGTGGGTTGTATCTTTTGATAGTATAAATTATTTATAGACGTCAAAAGCATTATGATTTATAACAATTGGAAGTAAAAAAAACTCTAAGATAATTAACACAACAATCTCAACTTTTGTAACGTATTTAGTTCAATACGCGGTAGAAAAGTTAATTATAAAAGAAATTTAAGCACATTTTGCCGTAGGCTATTCTCTGGTCGGCCTCTCCTCAGTAGGCATTGTCCGAACATATTTTGTGTTGTTGACGTTATGCGTCAATGACAGCCTTTGAACCTTGTCGGCTTTCTGTTTTGATCCTAAGTTTTGTTATGTAATGAGCGTGATAAATGTGGGCAGTAAAGGTGGTTGAACTAAACATAACTATTGTTGCCATGAGTTGAGGGCAGCAAGTCAGATGAACTTGCCATTTCACGGTAATTTAATATTGGTATTTTTAAAAAAACACGATGAAAAACGTGGACTTTGGAGCATTCTATTAAAAGCTACTAATCTTAATTAAGTTTAAAATAATTACAATCTACATACTTCATAATAAATATTTTTAGATGAATTATAAAAATTCCTATCCGTATACAGCCTACACACATTACATTACATTTAATTAATCCTAAGTTAATTTGCACTCTCTAAATATTTAATACTTAAAAGTATTAACAAATATCATGCAAATATAATAATATATATTTGTGACTTTTTTTCCTGTGACTTTTTTTCCTGTGACTTTTTTTCCTGTGACTTTTTTTCTGTGTTTTTTTTTCCTGTGTTTTTTTTTTCCTGTGACTTTTTTTCCTACAATCAAAGTAATGAGGGGGTGGGTAGAGTCGTACGCAGGGGTGGAGAGCAGCTTTAACCAATTTTCAGGGCAGGGGCGCCTTTTTGTGGACCAAAGCTTTATAAACAATATATACATATATATATATATATATATATATATATATATATATATATATATATATATATATATATATATATATATATATATATATATATTCATTCACAATTTAACACAACCATTGTCAATTCTCTTGGGATATGAAGGTAGCCTACAGCAGTTTTACGGTAAAGCAAAAGACTGTTAACCTGAAATTCCCGGGTTCGAATACCTTTATGTGAGCGGGTGGACGGATTATTTATTTTGTATTATTTTATTGGGTGCGAATCTGTGAGGGAATGGTCCACTGGACAGCAGCTACGGGGATTCCCCTTCCGCCCAAAGCGGTCAGTATAAAAACTGACAGCTCGGATAATTTCGTTCTTTTGACCCGAGGCGAGACGTAGATCGGGTAAGTTTCTGTGTGGGCGCGTGGCGCACCTCATGCGTGAAGTGAGGTTGCTTGTGCAACTTGGCTGGGTGTTTTGTATATAATGTTTGTGTATGTTGTTTTGTATATATTGTTTTGTCACGTTAAAGTCTGTGTTGTTTAGTTGTGTCTGTAATTTTTTATATAATCTTTTTTTTACGATTTTGATTGGTTCCATTTAATAAATTTAATAAATTGTTAAAGTTTTTTTGTTTTTATTTAGACTAAGGTTAAGGTTATTAACCAGTCTGGGTTAAGCCGGACTTGCACTGACTGGACAGTAGTTATATAAGCCTAGAAGGGTAGATTTTAGTTGCCCCCCCCCCCCCCCTAGCAGGGCTTACATTTATCTCAGATTTTGTATAAAAGTCAATTATTTTATTACGTCATCACTTAAACGCATTGTCTGAATAAAGTGCATTGAATACAACCCTGAAGTGCATTGAATTCAAACCCAAAGTGCATTGAACACAACCGCAGAGTGCATTGAACACAACCGCAGAGTGCATTGAATACAACCCCAAAGTGCATTAAATAAAACCCCAAAGTGCATTGAATACAACCCCAAAGTGCATTGAACACAACCGCAGAGTGCATTGAACACAACCGCAGAGTGCATTCAATGCAACCATAATTAAGCGCAAAAGGTTCAGATTTGACGCTAAATACCGAAAAAAAGCAATAGTAAATTACCGCATCACTTTATACCACAGACAGCGTTCGTGATATTTCCTACAATTTGTCAATATACAGTTTAGCCCACATCTTTAGGTAACTAATCTTTTTATGTTAGAGAATGTAGACCTATCACGTCGGCCTATCATGTAGACCTATAAGACGATGTGATAAAAAGGTAGAGCACATGTCTGCCAACGCAAAAGTCTCGAGTTCTAATCCGGGTTCAAGTCCATAGAAAGTCCACCCCCAGCTCTGACTGGTACCTGACTCAAGTTAGGGGATATTAGGTGGCTAGGCTTTGTGTTGGTAACACTATCCTTTCACAGGTCACAGCCGAGGTAACGGAAACAGGTGAACCCTACTTCACTTGTTACAGGGACCTTCAGGTTTGAAAGGGAACTTTGTTTTTACTATTGTGTGCCATAACTCTATTTATTTTGTAAAAAAAAGGATTTTTTTTTACTAAAATGCCGTCCTCGGGTAACATGTCTCAACTGCCCGGGGTCCGAACTCGCGGTCTTTGAGGTTAGCAATCAAACGCTCTCCCGCCCGACCACGCCGTCCATAAATATCATTTTAAGTATCTGTCAGCCTAATGTACCCGTATCTGTCAAACTGATGTACCCGTATCTGTCAAACTGATGTACCCGTATCTGTCAAACTGATGTACCCGTATCTGTCAAACTGATGTACCCGTATCTGTCAGCCTGATGTACCCGTATCTGTCAAACTGATGTACCCGTATCTGTCAAACTGATGTACCCGTATCTGTCAAACTGATGTACCCGTATCTGTCGGCCTGATGTACCCGTATCTGTCGGCCTGATGTACCCGTATCTGCCAAACTGATGTACCCGTATCTGTCAAACTGATGTACTCGTATCTGTCAGCCTGATGTACCCGTATCTGTCAAACTGATGTACCCGTATCTGCCAAACTGATGTACCCGTATCTGTCGGCCTGATGTACCCGTATCTGTCGGCCTGATGTGCCCGTATCTGCCAAACTGATGTACCCGTATCTGCCAAACTGATGTAGCCGTATCTGCCAAATTGATGTACCCGTATCTGTCAGCCTAATGTACTCGTATCTGTCAGCCTGATGTACCCGTATCTGTCAAACTGATGTACCCGTATCTGTCAAACTGATGTACCCGTATCTGCCAAACTGATGTACCCGTATCTGCCAAACTGATGCACCCGTATCTGTCAGCCTGATGTAAACGTATCTGTCAAACTGATGTACCCGTATCTGTCAAACTGATGTACCCGTATCTGTCAAACTGATGTACCCGTTTCTGTCAAACTATTGTACCCGTATCTGTCAGCCTAACTTATTTGTACCTTTCAGCCTGATGTACCTCTACCTGTCGACCTACTGTTCCTGTACCTGCCAGATGTCGTAATTCCTTTCGGACGGAAATGCCCGTACCTGTCGGTCCGATGTCACCGTACATGTCGGCTCGATGTCGTATTTTCTGTCGGCCCGATGTTATCTAAATCTATAATGGGCCACGTTCGCACATCTCTCTCTCTCTCTCTCTCTCTGTCCGCAAAAAATTTTCGCCGGACATCACGTCAGAATCGGCAGCGATATATGAAGAACTTTTTACGGACTTTTGTTGAAAATAATATGCTAGATGTTTTAAATGTAT